TTATAATAGACATTCTTTGGCATCAAGTACTGCAGACACTGCTGATACTTTTGAAATAACTATTCTCTATAACCTGCCTCAAATTAGTCCTGCGCCATTGTCAACGCAGCCATTTTCACACACAATTCTAATTTTCTTTTGTTATTGTTTTCTCACTTTACACTATCCCCGCTTTTTCCCTTTCTCTTTCTTTTTTGTATCGAGGTTTACACTACACACTCATCTCTTATTTTATCCTTCTCTGTCCATCTTTCTCTTCGTCTTGTTGTGTAATGCAAGATCTTGAGTTAGGTCTAAAGAGGAAAGGGAGAGGAAGGAATATAAAAGAGAAGCAACAAGGTAGGACAGGTCAGGTCGGATGATTTGGCAGCATGTGTATATATATTTACACAGACACACACTCTGTACATACGTTATAGATTCAATATTTTTAATTTGGTCTCTTCCAATGTGGTGTATAACACTTAGTCCTGTCATGCAGTCAGATCCTTCCAGTTGGAGGGCCAGTACAGCATCGAAAATGGAGGCTAAGTCGCGAATTTGTCTTCCATTTGTGGGACAATGGCTATATATAATAACTGGTGCGACCTGTCACTTAACCACGTAATCAGTGACTTCGCCAACTAGAGAGTGGGAATGCATCGTGTCCATAAAGTACCACTTACTAATTACTTTAATAATCTTTGTGATCTCTGGTGTTCACAGTAATTTTTTAACCCTGAAAACAGACAGAACACATCAGTCAACAACTTGAATAAATATGGTTTTCTAAATTTCTTTATTCTATTTTTTACCATTGAAATAAAATTTCATTAACAAAAAAAGTTTATTTGAATGCATTTGAGAAATAATATGTATTATCTGTATTCCCTGAAGTCTAAACATTCACAAGGGCTACACATTTCCTTTTTTCCACTCAGTTTGGGAGTCAAAGGTAATTAAGCTGTAATTTGGTAAGGCCTCAAACACTAAAAATCACACTACAGTATAAATTTGTTTGCTCCTTCAGGATAATAAAACGCAGCAGAAATACATAAATGTTTTCTTAGATATTCCAAAAACATAGTTTGGATACAAAGTCATAGATTGCAAATCCTCTTTTCTAACCTGACAACATGTTTAAATACATAATAAATAGATTGACTCACAATAAACGAGGTGCAGTTTGAGGATAATACCTTTACATTGTGTAAAATGTATTCCAAACTATAACACCTTTTCCACTGTATAGATTCACTACAGTTCTGTAGAAATCCCTTCCAGCCATCTTTTTCAGAGGTTTCCTTGCATTGTTAACTTTACATTATGCAATATACAAAAGAATATTTTCACAAAGATAACAATAATTAAGTTTCATTTCCATTTTCTTAACCTTTGTTGAATTGAAAAAGCGGCCTTTCAAAATTTAAAACAATCATAATAAAAATATCACCATTAGTATGTCATACCTAGATTAATATATACAGAAGCTATCATTCCTCGATAATTTAGAATTTTGAACTGCATCATAAAATGCTAACCCAATCTTGTCACTCCCATTCAGCTGGATGAACTACAATATTTATTTTCAGTTTCCATTGTTCTACATGTATCTGCCCCTTTATTATTCTATAGTAAAAATGAGAATAGTATCTACATAGATTACCTTATTTCTGAACTGAGAACAAGTTACTGCATACTCGTACAGCCACAGTCTACATACGGGCTACCCTGAGCTTGATCAGAGCAAGGTTAATGCCTGAAAACTGCATTTGATGGCAATGTATCAATAATATCCTACTTGAAATTATGAACTCCAGATATAAACATAGATTTATAGTAAATGTAAACAAAGATGAATTATAATTACACAGGGCAGTTTATATAAAATGGGTCTATAGGCATCTGAAATTGCTATAAACCTGTAATTGGGAACATTTGTTATACAGGTAGGTTTCCTGCTAGAACTTTTAACCAACTAGTCACTGGCAGTATGAAAAACTGTTACTTAAAATTATTATTGCATACCAATTACAGTCTGACTCTGCTGACCAAGTGTAGATTACAGTTAACAGGAACATATTCAGTACACTAATATATTGAACTAAATACATTTAATAAAATGTTAAATATATATGACAAATGTTTCCATGCTCAGTATCTTAGTTTCAATAGGCAGGCAAAGCTTATCATTTCCATCTACTACACGAAACTGAATAAAAATAATCAAATAACCCAATCATTTCTCCATATCAAATAACCTAGAAGAAAATAAAACCTACACCTGGCAATACCTCATGCAGAAAAAAGGTTTATTCTATGCCATGGAATTATGCTTGACAGTTTTATCATAATCACACTACACTGGCAAGCTCTATAAATGTGCAATTTCTATGTTGCAAATTTTAACAATGCTGTTATAATGAACTTGTTTTTTCGCAATTTTGTAAATCTACAACAATCCTACTGAACATAGTTGCTGATCTATCTTACAGAATACAAGGATGTGAATATAGCATCC